CCGATTTCAACAAAACTTCACAGATGTCGAATTGGGCTAAATTCCGTACGCTGTTCAAAATTTTGTCCCAATTGGGATTATACTTTCAGTTTGGTGCACCATTTACCTAAAATCGGACGAAACTATATATGGGAGCTATATCAAAATCTGAACCGATTCCAACAAAACTTCGCATACATTAATTTGGACCTATTTCCGTAGGCTGTGACAAATTTTGTGACAATCGGCCTAAATTTGACTTTTTGGTGTTCATTTACATAAAATATGGGAGCTATCAAACTCCACTAAATTTCGTACGCTGTGCAAAATTTTGTCCCAATTGGGATTATACTTTCAGTTTGGTGCACCATTTATTTACCTAAATTCTGACGAAACTATATATGGCAGCTATATCTAAATCTAAACCGATTACAACAAAACTTCGCATACATATATTCGAACCTTATTCCGTAGGCTGTGCAAAATTGTGTGCCAAATGGCCTAAATTTGACTCTTTGGTTCACCATTTACCTAAATTCGGACGAAAGTATATATGGAAGCTATATCTAAATCTGGGCCGATTTCAACAAAAATTCGCATACATCAATCTGGACATAATTCAGTACTCGGTGTAAAATTTTTTTTCCATCGGACCAATATTGGCAGTATGATGCTCTACATAAAATCGGACGAAACTATATATGGGAGCTATATCTAAATCTGAACCGATTTTCTCCAATTTCATCCAAATCGGATCATAATCGACCTGTACTTTGTTCACAAAAATGCATGGACGGACATGCATAAATCGACTCAGAAAGTGATTCTATGTATATTCTCATAAGGAACCTCGATTCCTTTTGCCTGTTACAAATATATGCACAAAGACATAATACCCTGTATCACAGTGTGGTGAAGGGTATAAAAATATTCTTAAAAAAATCCCGCCTCTAGTAATAAATAATAATTTTCAACAAATCTTTACGATTCTGAAGAAGATAAGATACCTCCTGAAAGAAAATAGGACCATTTTGGACGTCCATTATGTAATTTGATGGCCTTAGCCTTACATTCGTACTGAAAAACCTGTCATTCGGAAGTTACTTCGGACTTTTGGAGGATGAAAGGCCTCAAAGAAAGAAGATGTAAAAACAAAAGGATACATAAGCGGAAAAAGATTCGATTTAGAAGGGCGAAATGTTATACCAAAATATTCTTCAATTGATTTGGCTATAAACTGAGCTATAAAACAAGCATGTCAACGTACTATTATCGAAAAAACTATGACCTATGGCAATTTCGCTCTTCTGGATTCTGTTTATACTCCCCCAAGGGATTTCATTCCCAATATTATTTTTTCACACACCCAATATCTTGTTGCCCAGGGTATTTACTGCCAATCCCACACTCTTTCAGTATTGTTATATGGTTTAAAACATTTTGCCAAAGTCTTCAATATTGCCCACACTTAACTGAATTTATTTGGCATTATAATATATTCTTTATATTGCTTTGCAAAAATCCTTTTAAATTTCATCTGTAATATTAAATATATTCTCAATAGCGTCAACATGTTATATCATGATTTTTTCAATAGCTATAAATTCAATCTTTCAAATTCACAGCATATTGCAATGGTGCGTTATTGTGGTACCCACGAAAAAAGAAGATCATGCATGACCCTCAATAAAATCAAGATATTTGGTTATAGAATTACTTAACCTGTTGGTGGTTGTAAAGGTTTTAATAATTTATGTTTATAATTTTATGACACCTTTCACAGGCACACACCATACCATACCGTACGCGGCGGAGTACCTCAGTTCATGGAAATAGGCGCAATGTGTTACTTTGTTTTCACATGCTCAATCGGACAAGTACCTGTCGATCTATTCGTTGAACTTATTCGAGAATGAAAAGGGATCATGGATTAAATTTAGGATATGCGAACAACTGTCGTTGTGCAAAAGTAAAAAAAATTGATACCTGTAGAGGGTGGCTGTTGCATTGACAGGTGCTTGAGGTTTTAAGGTTGAAGGTAAACTGAGTTTTGTTGTGTAGATATCAATGAAATGATCATTGAATTCGGCAGTCAGTTAAAGAAGAAACTTCGAAATATAGTGTTCTACTTCCTGGCGAGGTTTGTAAAATTTGTAAACAATCGACGAAAAGGTCTATAGGTTCTTCCTTTTTCCTTTCTAAGAGGTTAACGATTTTGTTGGTCAATGTTACTCTATAACCTGTACGACAATGTCGTGAGGAGTTAACGAGTTTTTTTTTTTTGGCAAGGACGAGGTCGTAAAGACTGCGTACTTTTTAAGGAATCAACTTGTTTAATACTTCAGTTTTTCTAGTCGCCCTACATATAGAGAAACTGTTGATTTTATTACCAATTTTTTAGTCTAAGTGGTTTTAATAGATGTTTGCATAGGGACGAGTCCCCATATTTTGTGCATGTTTTGCCACTGGCTGTAATTTGAAGTTTTAGGTTCTTTCTCTATTGGCCCATGTTTCGGTATAGGACCCATATAACGGTACATTTTGGAGATTTTAAACACATTTTACACTAAAGTGACTTTTTTCGGTATTGATGGTATTTGAGGGCTGGTATACATATTCAATTTTTCAATAAAAAAGGACGTAATTTAATTTCATTTCAATATCACAATGCTCACCTTGAGTGCCGGACAAATTTTCACTGTGATCAGCCATCCACTTATGTTTGGGACGGTTGCCATCACGGATTGGTGGCAAATCGGTCTAAAAACAGAAACACCCATTACAAACAATTATCCACATATATTTACATCATTTCCAACATTACCTTGTAATGCATCCAACCGAACCATTCAGCTGGAATTTGCGAACCATCATAATCCATATTCACATGTTCGGCAAATTCAACCCAACGATTTCTGCCATAGAAATAATAGGGATTTTCGTAATACTTGTTGCCGTATTTGTCGGTGCCAACCAATGTACCGATTTTCAAATCATCATTTCTGTAATTATAAACAAATTATGCATTAAACGCTAGGAGACTTTCTGGGCAAAAACTTATATAATTTCAAGAGGCAAATCGGCCCAACTACTTACCTATACAATTTGAGATAGGTATTTTTCAGACCGCCATTTTGGCGAACAATCTGAAAAAGTTTACCCAAGCGATCCAAGCCAAGATATTTCGACATTCTAATGAATAAACAATAAGAAATATTCAATTTTTTCGTAATATAATCAGATTTTCCGACGGAATTACCTGTCCGTTTGCTGTGCAAAAAAACTTCAGTGACCCAATAACAGCTGATTTGATGGAATTAATTTGACATTTATTTTGTGTTATCAATTTACTTTGCATGTGTTGAAGGAAAAAAATAAGCACACAACAGCCGGTAAATAATAACTGAACACAATCAATAATCTAAAATGTGGTTTATTTAATAAATTATTAGATGATTTTCTATACATAATAATAATATATTAATAATTTGATAACGGTAATTCCCAAAATATATATCTACTTTAAATAGAATATAATTTAAAAAACCAAAACATTGAATTGTGACATGGTGTGGTATGTTCAGTGAGCTTTAGATTCATATCTTGAGAATTCATGCAAAACAAAAGTCGGTTCCCTCACTCAAAAAGTGAAGTTTCCGAAACAGAGCAATAACTATTTATCTGAAATAAGTGAAATTAATTCAGCTTTAATAGTCAACTTAAGCAAATGAAGAATAATGACGCATAAGGTACGTTCAGTGATTTCGTTTTGTATATCCAACCTTAAAGCTCCTTTAGCCTACGAAAATTATTCGTAAACATGTCATATGTTCATACCCTGCGCAGTAATTACATTTTTCATTCCGACCCTCAAAATATTCGGGGGTCACCTCATAAACTGATAATAAATTTATAAAACAATATTTAATAAATAGACGGAGAATATGATGATAGAACTCCGTTGTCCTCAGCCCCACCGTTAGCCATAGCGATATGGCTAAAATTTGATAGTATCAAATTCTCCATCGGAAGCGTTAAAGACCTTATTGTTCTTGGAGCTTAATCCCGTTACTACATCCGGATGAGAACAAATTTACTATTGTTTTAAATGAGATCAACAAAGACATCACCAGACAGAGCGAAGCACTTGGCAACTTCGAAAAGGGATACATCCAAAACGGCTCTGGATGAGAAGGTTACCTAGGGTAATTTGCTATTTTTGAAGACATTTTGACCATGACCCCAACAAACTCATCGAAAAGAACTCCTTTTTATTAGTAAACATTTAAAGGTCGTGAAGAAGCATTCCCGTGATTTCCCTCAAAAAGCCTCTAGAGAACTTCTAATCAAAAGGATTCCAATATCTCGCAGTGAAGTCCTACGATACAGGAGCAAACCTCTTAACATATCGAATAAGAACGCAGAAGATGACTTCAGTGTAATAAGTTCCAACAGAAGCCAAAAACTCTTCAAAAGCCCTTTCCGAACCAAACACATTAATAATTTTTATGATGTATTTGTAAGAAGAAAGGAGCCCCATGTTAGGTTTATTTTCAGGTTATTTTAATTTTGTTTTATCTAGGGATAAAATGTAATATATATTCTATTAAAAATTGTCAGATCTCACAATTAATTAAGCTGGATCTAAAAGAGATAAACTAATTTCCATTCAATCGCTTCGTTATATTTTAATTTCTATAGTAATAATAGTAATAAATATGTATAATTTATTGTTAATTAAAAATAATATTTAAAAAAAATAAACAATTTAACAGCATTAGGTACGTTCAGTGATTCCACAAAAATAACTGAACACAATCTATAATCATCCTGTTATCACTTACGATGATTAACCAAAAATACAAACGAGCAAGAAGAAGCACATTATTTGACATTTGATAATATTTTGGTTGGGGTATGTTCAGTGTTTTGTCTTCCAGATACCGACGACGTCTAGCAGAGTGAATCATTTACATTGTTTTTATCTTGAAATTGAAATAATTCCAGCAACTTTTTTGTATTCTGTTATAAGAAAAGTGAAAATAAAGACTGCATTCATTTATATAATGGCCAAAAATACCTCCAGTTCTGCATTCCGTAAAATCGATGTCGATCAATACAATGAAGACAATTTCAAAGAAGATGAAGCCGATTCGGTGGCAAATACATGCGATGAAAATCTCATTACCAATCTACTGACAGAAGGCAAGTGTATAGAGGCTTTGGTGTCTGTCTTACAGAATGCTCCTTTGAGATGTAAACAACAACATGTCAAGGTATGAAGATAAAAGGTTTTGATTTAAATGTTTATTTAATAAACGTTTAACTCTCTCATTTTATGCACTTCCAAAGGACCACGCCCTCAATGTTACCCTCAAGGTATTGCTCTCTATTAAATCATCACAAATGGATCAGGCTGTTGAAGTACTGGATCAAAATGACTTACTCGATGTTCTTATGAAGTATATATATCGTGGATTTGAAATGCCCTCGGAAGGTTCAAGCGGTCATCTGTTACAGTGGCATGAAAAAGTCTTTGCCAAAGGTGGTCTGGGCTGTATTTGCCGTGTGCTGGCCGACACCAATCGTGCCTAAGGGCCGGGCCAACAGTGCTGTTCTTGAAAAGGAATTGTTAATAGTAATTGTAATTTATAATGCATTTTTTTAAATATGATTGTCAGTCGTCATCAAAAAACATTTGATCTTCTTAATGTGTGTGTTTGTGCGAGTGCATGAAGCCATTAAGCTAGATACAGTCAGTCAGTTTTATTAATGGATAACGAATAAGAAAACAAAGTTAAACGTCGTGTGTTTAGTAAGTAGTATTTTCCTGCTCTGAGTATTGCCTATTATTTTGTTTATTAATATTAAAGTCTCTTTTTATATCATCTAAATTTGTGTACCTATTTTATTAATATCTTATGTTTTAAAAACGGTTTACTTTCTACTAGTTAAAGAAGAAGAGTAAGATTTTGTAAATCCAAAATAAACAAAACCAAAATACATTAACCTGTAAACATGAGACCGATGGAATTATTTAACTGAATATGAAAATTTGGAGCAGTTGACTGACCCCTATGATCTTTGGTCCAAAGTCGATTTTGTGTGATACCCATCAGCATGCACATCGCCAGAGACAAATTTAAGAGATCTCTATCAATTTGTCAACTTATGAAAATAATTTGTCAACTTATGAAATTTATAATTAAAAATCATTTGGTCTTCCTCTTAATTATAAGGAAATCCTCGTCCGTTATTTAGTCTCTGTTCCGTCCGATAAGCGGTTACAGTATTCAACCGCTTTCCGGTAAATCTTCTTGTCAAAGATCTCTTCTTGCCTCGTCAGTCCTGGGATCATATGCACTCGTGCGTTTCCTCCGAGACTTTCCCCATGACCCCCTGGTTGTCCGCGACTGTTTATTTGATATTCACATCTACCCAAAAAAAATTATTGGGCTTCCCAGCGCTTTCAGGACATTTTTTTGTTTGAATTTAAGATATGCTGCGTGTTTTCTGGCTTTGGAAGTATCTCAGGGCTATTGGATCGAAGTGTTTTAACATTAGTATGGATATGCCATCTGGACCATGCACTTTTGAGGATTTTGTTTTGGAAATTGAGTCTTCAATTTCGGTTAGTATGAAGAAGCATGTATTTGGCTCGCGTTGGAGTTTCCAGACTTTCCTCAAGGTGGCTCTGGTGGTCCTGTTCTGCGTGATGTGGTGGCCAATGAAATGCTGGCAGAAACTCGCATATTTTTTGGCATCAGAATATTGGGCATGAATAAAGCTTATGGCAATGTTACCATGGTTTTTGAGCCTAAAGTGTCGTTGCTTCTTAAGATATAAGAGAAATGTGTCCGTACGATCCACACCTATTGGCATACGTGACAGGCTACTTAATTACTTAGCTGGCTTGCGACAGAACGGTTGTTTCATAAGCCGAGCTTAGAAAAGATTTCCAAGTGCATCGATCTTGTGCGCATCTCATCCAATTTGAAAAACCATGTTTCAAGATGTTGTCTTCTACTTGATCTTTCCATAGGTTTCGTGGCCTTCCCCTTCTGCGTGAACCATCACTTGGCTCGTTTTTATATGCCTTTTGATCCATACAACAGCACGGGTAGTATCAGCGTCTTGTAGAGCGTGAGTTTTGTCTAGCAAGAGCTGACCTTGCTTACTTAGACCATAGTAGCATCTGTTGGCCAACGCTATTCCCCTCCGGATTTCAAAGCTGATGTTATTAGTTTTGTTTATAGCGGTGTCGAGGTATATAAAATCGTTTACTACCTCGAAGCTGTAGTTTTCAAGTTCAACAGTTGGTCCAAGACTACTGGACGTCTTGTGCGTTGATAACATCAGCTTGGTCTTCTCATCATTTACTGCCAGTCCCATTTTGCCAGAATCCTTCGCGATTCGTTCTAAGGTGGTTGTTACTTCTCGCAATGTTCGACCCATTATTTCGATGTCGTCGGCGTAGGTAACATATGCTGTTTGGTGTACAGAGAGCCATTTCTGTTCACATTTGCATCTCGTATGACCTTTTCCAGCAGGATGTTAAACATACCACACGACAAACTGTCACCTTGTCTGAATCCTCGTTCAGTATTGAAGGTCTCCGAGAGGTCCTTTCCGACTTTCACTGCTGACCTTGTGCCAGTTAAAGTTTTCCTGCATAAACGTATAAACATTTCAGGAATGCCGAACGCAGACGTGGCTTTAAACACCTCTGAACGGATAGGTCTATCGAATGCGGCTTTATAGTCGACGAATATTTGAAATGTGTCAATGTGTTTTTCGTGGGTGTTTTCCAGGATTTGGGGCAGAGTGAAAATCTGATCAATGGTGGATTTGTCAGGCCTGAAGCCGCATTGGTATGGTCAAATAATGTCGTCATTGACCATTGGCTTCAGTCGTTCGCACAGCATTCGGGATAGCCATTTCTATGCGATGAGAAGGAGACTTATTCCTCTATGGTTGGCACATATCTTGTCTCCGTTTTTGTGCACGGGACACATGATGCTGAGGTTCCAATCATTGGGCATGCATTCCTCTGCATTGTACCAATCAGTTGGTGCATGTTCCTGACCGGCATCTGACCAACGGTCTTGAATACTCCGGCTGGTAATCCATCAGCACCTGCTGCTTTATTGTTCTTCAGCCGATTATTAATTGCTATTCTGACCTTATCTTGGCTAGGTGGTATACAATCTATACCGTCATCTCTTATTGGTTCTGGGGTATCTTCTTCACACCCCCACTATTTGATACCAGAAGCTTTGTGAAATGTTCATTCCAGATCATCTAGCGTGTTGATGATCTGGAATGAGCATGTTGCATTTCTGTATCTGACACCAGGTTTCCATCTTTATCTCTACAGAAAGATGTACCTGCACCAAAGCCTTCGGTTTGGTGTTTTACTCGTGCAGGCTTCAGGACGTTATTTGTCGATTGACAAACTCACGTCTATTGTCTGATGATCTATTTGATCCTGATCTTTGAAAGAAAATCATAAATTTATATTGACGATGACGACATTCTATTTGAAATCGTTTTTGGTTTTTGTTTAACATAAAATTGATATGAAATTAACTGCAAATATTATTTTCTTTTTAAATAAATAAAATAAAACATACAAAAAGAGTAGGAAGGAAGATGTGTGTGGGTGTAATAATTGCGAGAAGACGACAGTGGTTAACAATTTTTTTTTTTATTTTATTTTGTATTGTTTTATTACTAACGTGTCGACACACAAGTACTGAAATAGAGGGAGGAGGATAAGCGTTGAGTCCTTCTTGGTTTATCCCACGTAGTATGCCATATATATATAACGAAATATGCTATTTCAAAACGCGAACAATTATATGTGTGATAGTGTGTGGTGGATAGCGTAGAATTTTGATTTCCTTTTTGGTTAGCAGAAGAGAGAGATAGAGATGATGAATAATGCTATATGTTGTTGCGGTTGGTTTTTGGGTGCTTTTGTGGTGGTGGTGGCGGTGGTAGTGCTGCTGATGATGCTGCATTTCAATTTTTCATGCGGGTAGTAGTAGCAACATTTTGTCTACTGTTTGTCCATCCATCCATTCATCCATCTACCACATATGGGTCTCACGAATTTCACTAATAATATGATTAGCATTTGTTAAAGCCTGTCGGGGAGAATAAAATATATTATGAGGGTTATTAGTAATGGTTGTTCTTCATTTCTTTTTTGTTAAAGGGGTACACACCTTCAACATATCGGCAGCTTCTCGTCTACGTATCGCAATGTGATCCGATTCATTTAGCAATGTCTCAACGGCATCTGATTTGTATAAATGTGTCACCAATTCACTTTGTAAATTATCCTTAACGTGATTAACTAGAAAATGCATAACGGCCTTTGGTACTGAATCCTGAATAGATTTGCGTACAATATAGAAATACGATTTGATTAAACGTTCTGAAAGGAATAGCAAAGAAAAAATATCAGTATATGAATATAATTGCAATCAGTTCCCTTTTTTTATAATAAGGTCATCCAGGGAGACCAGTGATGGGTGACCTTATTAATAGATTTTGGCGTGGACCTACCAATAACATCACAATCCTTTTGTTCCTTATCGGTTAAACGCCTGGAGCCCTGATTGGCAGGCACATCGGGTAACAGATTAACTGGTTTCACCGGACTCATCAGAGAATTGTGTAGCGGAGTATTGTGATTGGAGTTTTCCATGCTTTGGGTGGCATTGGGTGCTGGTGGCAAAATATTCGATAACCAGTTATTTTCACCAATGTGGTTCTAAACGGAGAGGAAGGAAAAACAAAAAACCATTTCAAAAATTAGCGAAATTAAAAAATAATAATTTTTACTCACCTGTTCTCCAACATCATTATGATGTTGTTGGTCTTGCTCCTGTTGTTGCTTTTGCTGTTGTTGCTGCTGCTGTTGTTTTTGCAAATTTTGCACAGCCATTACCTGTGGCGATGAATTTGTCGTCCTTGGTGTATTTGAACGTCGTGCCAACTGTTGTTGCTGCTGCCCGTATGGGTCCATAATATTATCAGTTTTCAATAGACTTGGCACCAAGGCAGCATCTTTATGAAAATCAGGATGTTTTGTATTGATATAGGCCAATTCAATGGCCACTAGATTTTCCACCATAACATTTGTGGCCGGTAGGCGGCGGCGCAATAGCTGTGTTACCACATCAACGATTTTCTCATGTAGTTTGGGGAATCTGTGAAAAAGATGATATTAGGAAATGTTCAAGAGGAGAACTATGGAAGATCCTGTAGAAAATCGGGTAGAGAACTTAAGTGTTAATAAGACATGTCACAGTACTTCAATAAGTAGATTACTTGGAGAGCCTCCCCCTACACAGAATAGACATTTTTGTACATATAAAGGGTTCCAAGAATGTGATAGAATAACTTTCTGAGGGATTCTGTATATAAAAGAGCCTTTAAAAGAAATTTTCTGATATAAAGTCTTTCGGAATTCTCCTCTAAAAGAAGATCTCTCTGCGATTTGTTTTATAAAAAGCTTTCAGAGATATTTTTGTACATACAAGGACTTTCAAGAATGCTAGAGAATATTTTTCTGAGGAATTGTG